TCAATTTTGGATAAAATAATATTCCATTAAATAATTGCCCCTTCAACCACCCAACCCGATCTTCCAATTATTTAACATTATCATTTAAAAAAAGGGATTCCAACTTTTCAATTTTGGATAAAATAATATTCCATTAAATAATTGCCCCTTCAACCGCCCAACCCGATCTTCCAATTATTTAACATTATCATTTAAAAAAAAGGATTCCAACTTGTCAATTTTGGATAAAATAACATTCCATTACATAATTGGCCCTTCAACTACCCCTTCCTCGTGCACACTATCAGCTACCCTGCCTTTAGTTTTCAACCTTAAACATTTATATATGTGTGCATAAATAAATTAATAAAACAGCATTTAAATTACATTTGCTCGTTTTGGTTCTAGTTTTTATTTAAAATGGTTGACTAATGATTAAATTTAATCTATTTTTTTGCACATTATAAAATAGGAAAATTGAGATCTCAATTTGTTTAATTCCTCAAGTGACAAATTTAATCTATTTTATTGATCTTACCTAGAAGGTGTTAAGTATCATAGTGTCATGACTCATTCCCTGGAGCTTCTCATGGTGCAACTGCATGTAATGGTACATGTCCCTCTTCAAAAAAAGTATTGTAACCTCTGTAAAAAACATAAAACTGCAAGTATAATTCGTCAAATTGGAAAATCGAATCAAAACTGTCTTTTTGAAACTGGCAATTTGGTGTCACATTGATGCGTCAATGACGCGGTTTCGAATTAAGCCAAACTTTTCTAAAATGGTTTGATTTTGGTTTCGAAATTTTAATGACGATTAGAATTCAAACCGGACTGTTCAAAAAATATATACAAGAAGACGACGTAGGAAAAACCTAAAGCTTTGGCAACCACTTAAAACACTGAATGATATACTATTGCACGATTTCGATCGCCACACTGATCTTAGCAACACAAATAAATTCAAAACTCTCTAGAGCCTTTCCATTCCAACAGTTCCAATGTGACTCTACCAGTTAAATCTTTGCAAAACAAAAATTAGTCTACCTATGCATGGTAGGAGATCAAGAATTCGAAATAAATCCATGAAGTTATATGCGTTTGATGCAGGAGGATCCGAGTAAGATGATGTCGAGTTGTCTGATAGCTCGTTAATGTCGCTGAGATACCATGAGTTGGCGGATCAGTCCAAAAATGGCAAGTAATCGATGATCTTCCTAATTGGGGCCATTTTTTTGACACGTTTCGGTATTTTGGTCATAACTTTTGGTTACGGTTATCAGAATTGCGCTTATGACTCCAATTCGAAAAGTTTTTTAAGGTGCGCATGTCATGGTCACCCAGCTTTGCTCAGTGTACATTGATTTCGAGGGCAAATTCCGCTGTTTTCCTTTCCAACATCTCAATTTAAGTTATTTTTTGCCTTTTTTTAGTAATATTTCGTTTGTCTTTTTAACATAAATTTTGAACTCGAATTGAGCCGGATTTTTGGGATATTATTTCTCTTATTACGTATTTTTTTTTGGTATGAATATTGAGATTTTGCTATTTTTGATAAAATTATGATAATTGTGAATTTTTTTTTAGCTATATAACCCGGCTTGTTTTTCGGTTGTTGGATGAATAATAATGACAATTCTTGTTTTCTTGGCGTCCTTCTCTGTTAATTGCCCGTTGAATTTCAGCCCGCGGAATAATCATTATAGATTAATTTAAAGTTGGATTTTTAAAGGGGAGAACATTTAACAGTAAAGTAGTGATTTGTCAGTTTCAAGTTTTTGCACAAGTGTTTATATGCTAATAAATATGTTGTGTTATAAAGATTATAGATTCAAGACTTGATGATAAGTGCTAAAACACACTTTCAATCACATTCTATGAATTATTGCAGTACTGAATTTTGAATTATATAAATGAAACTGAAAATTACATTATTATTACAGGTGGATGGAAGCAAATAATGCAGTGCTGGAAGATTGCAACAGAATATCACAAAACACACATTACAATATTCATTATAGGGTGGCATCACTTTTGTGTTATATAGTTGTGGCAATTGCTAATTTTTAAACTTGAAATCATCTAGGCATGATTTTCCAATCGGCTTTGAATAGAACTTGGCCAAATGCTCATTTACTGTAAAGTCTTTGTATATAGGGGGGTTTTCTTCAGATATCAACTCTTTGATTGGACCATAGACCTTCGTAGGATCCATGACTCCGGCCAAGAAGCATGCCACCGAAATTCTTGGTCCGACCTGGTTGGATAGCACTCTATGCCAAGCACTTTTAAACTCGTCATTTGAAACCATCTGAAACAGAAATCATGATTATTGGGAATACGTTAAGTTGAGGACTACCATGTTTGATAACTGAAGCTTTAAGATGACGTCATTTAACATTTTACGGAAACATCAGGCCTTTGATTAAAAAATTAATTTTGCATTGAATGTGTTGAATACTAAATTTGAAAAAGCAAATGTATCTCATCTTTGATAGATTAGTTTCTAACGAGATTGTTCAGCAAGATATAACTTTCTAGAGAATTAAAGCATTAGTAATGGAACTTCGACCAAAACTTTTTGAGAGAACCTGAAGGTTGTCACCAATATTGATTACGAAGCTCCCAGGACGGGGTGGTACGTCAATCCACTGGTTGTCTCGTAGGACTTGGAGGCCGNGAGGGATCAGTGTGCTTGTTTGTACCCAAAGTTAGCTCGGGTTGTGGGCATGCTGGATAGTAATGGCAAGTGAAAGTGCGTCCTTTGCCACATTCCATCGCTTCTAGGTATTCTCTTTTCAGGCCTAGAGCTTCAGATAATAACTCATATAGAGTTTTCCCTAACTTTGTAACTTCATTGATGTATTCAAATGTTGAATTTCTGTCAATTTTCAAACAACGTGGCTGTAAGTTTCTTATTACGGACATGCACATAGGGAGCATATCCTATATTACACAACATGAAGAGTTAAACATGAAATTGAAGTTAAAAGCATTACGACGGATTTAGGTGATTGTAGTCATTGTTTCAAAACGAACAACATACTTGGGTAATAATTGGATATATATATACCTGCAAACCACAGGCAATTCATCGGGCTCAATGTCACACGAGGTCATCAGAGAGATGGTGAATGTGTCCCTCCAAACTGCACGCTTTCTAAACGGGTCAATATTGCCATAATATTTCACTTTCTTCATTGGTTCACGAGAATAAAATTTCTTTTTTTCCTCTGCATCTTGTTCATGAAATCTACTTACTCCATCAAGCATGGAGTCTAAAACAGTTTGAGGAATCCCATGATTCACCACTTGGAAAAATCCCCACTCTTTTGATGCATTTTTCACTTCACTGATGATCTTCCTTCGCTGATCATCTGCTTCTATACCATTAAGATCAATGACGGGAACCTGTAAATTGCTGTGCCCATAATTTGATTCCTCGGCAACTTCATCAGCTGGTCTAATGAATATTTTTGGGATGTTTTCGATCCCAGCATCTACTAATCCTTTCACACCAGTTTTTGTAGCATCAAAAGCCCTGAGTTCATCTTGTAAACCCTCACTTTTCACTGGAGATTCAGCTACGTTAATGGCTAACAGACTCATTTTTTTTTATTTTTTTTTGACAGAAAAAAGGGAAAAAACAAAGATAGTAAAGCAATACGCAGCAAGTGTATTATATCTTAGCAGCTGCTATAAATTCTCTAAACTGACTAGCTATATTATATTTGTGATTCATCATTCATGTGATGGCTCATGTAGAATGTAATAATAATAATGAGTTATAATTATGGAACCTTCGAAATATATAAATAAAAATTATGTTCAATTAATTTAAGTTATAATTTAAGCTTCGTCAGATGTGCACTAATTTTTTTTGGTAAAGTACCTTTGTCAGTGAAATTTTCCAAAGATTTCTTGTTATTTTAAAAACCTCCTATTCTTTCTTTTAAAAACACAGATCACCGTTCGTATATTTGAGATGGTACAAAAATTTTGATATGTGCTCATGATCTTGAAAGAATAGTTGAAGACATGAAATGTGTTGGAAAGAATAAATATATTGCAGGACAGACTTTGACATACATTTTGAGTGGGACCCTTTTATTCATTTTGGAAGATCATAATTGATTTGTTCTCTTTCGTGAGAACATCGACATCATATATTTACTTGTCAAGAATTATGTTCGGGTAAATGAAAAATTGGAGTTCAAAATGATAAATTGGAAAAGATTTTGTGTTGAAGGAAAACTAGTTAAAGTTATTTCACACAGGAAAATGGATAAAGACAATGAACACTTTAAATATGATTACATTTTAAAAATGTGTAATTATATGTAGTATAAAAGCTCTCTCCATATGCGCATGCAAGGGTGTAAATCACGGACCGAAAAAGGATTCGGACCTTAAACTTTTGTGCGGGTGCAGGTTGTATACGAATGGACCCAAAATTAGACCTTGGTGGTGATATTGTTAAGATATTAAGTCAGTATGCCGGAGTAGCATCTGCTCAGACTTTAATGGTTTTTCGTTATATCATGGGAAATAGACGCTTGAACTAGACCTCAAGCACTTACGGTGAGACGACGAATATGTTTTAAAGAAACTGTGTTCACACAGGCGCCACTTTCAAAGTTCATTGGGTTTTTATTTCCTGCAATTTATATTACTTGTTCTGTTTTTTTTATTGTGATTAATAAAATTATTTAATATGCATTATTTTGGCTAACATTCGGTTAGTTAGCGGTCTAACCAATATTTGTTTATACAGTATCCTTTCAGCCGGTATACGTCCATACGGTTAGTTGCATTGAAGGTATGTGTTCTGTACATACGACAATTCGGTTAGTTAGCTGTCCAACTGGAATTTGTTTTGCCGGTATGTGTTTTGTTCATACAATTAGTTTGTTGCACTATCGGTACGTGCTCTGTTCATATGCTAATTAGTTAGTTTCACATACGGTATGTGTCGATCCGGCATTTCTGTTCATATGGTAAGTGAGTTATCCAGTCGGTAGGTGTATCCAATATTTGTTAAGCCGGTGTTTTTTCACTATTATTTTGGAACAAATTGTCGTGCAAGTCGTATAATTATGTATTTGTTACGAACAACCATGAATATATGCCCATGGGAGAGACCCTGTGTGCATGAAGGTTAGGAAGAAGAAGGGACACAGATAAAAGTCCTCAAATTGAAAAATTGATTGAAACTATTTTTTGAAACTTTGATTTTACTGTCACGCATCAACGAAATGATTTTGAACTAAGCCAAACTCCTCTAAAGCGGTTAAATTTAGATTTGAAATTTTAACGACGATTTTAAGCAAATTGGACCACTTAAAAAATAAAATGAAGATAAAATAAATAGTTTTAAATTTCTGCTAGAATTTAGATTGATAATTTATAGTCTTACCTCTAAATAAAATATAACTATTAAAATTTTAATACAAAAATGACAATTTGATCAATTGTCCATTACTAAATACCAATTATTACCCTAATTTAATATTGCCATTACCAATATCTTCCTTCGCTGATCATCTGCTTCTATACCATTAAGATCAATGACAGGAACCTGTAAATTGCTGTGCCCATAATTTGATTCCTCGGCAACTTCGTCAGCTGGTCTAATGAATATTTTTGGGATGTTTTCGATTCCGGCGTCTACTAATCCTTTCACACCAATTTTTGTAGCATCAAAAGCCCTGAGTTCATCGTGTAAACCCTCACTTTTCACTGTAGATTCAGCTACCTCAATGGCTGACGAACTCATTTTCGTTTTTTTTTTTGACAGAAAAACAAAGATAGTCAAGCAACAATTGTATTATACCCTTGCAGCTGCTAAGAATTCTCTAAACTGACCAGCTATATATACACACACACACGAGATTCATCATTCATGTTGGTTACAATAATGACAATTGATAACAAGAATGTAATAGTAATTATTATGAATCGTTCGAAATATATGAATAAAAATTATGTTTGATCAAATTAGATTATAATTTAAGCTTTGTCAAATGTGCACTAATATTTTTGGTAAAGCACCTTTGTGAGTAAGATATTCCAAAGATTTCTTGTTATTTTAAAAACCTCCTAGTTTTTCTTTTTAAAAACACAGATCTAGAAAGAATAGTTGAAGAAGGGACGTAAATAAAAGTCGTCAAATTGAAAAATTGATCTAAACTATTTTTTGAAACTTAGATATTAATGTTATGTGGAACGGTTTTGAACTAAGTCAACCTATTCTAAAATGGTTTGATTTAGATTTGAAATTTTAATGATGATTCTAAAGCAAATCAACCGCTTAAAAATAGAATGAAGGTAAAATAAATTGTTTTTAAATTTCTCAAAATAAAATATATCTATTAAAATTTTAATTTAAAAAATGAAAAATTTGTCAATTGTCCATTCATAAATACCAATAATTACTCTAATTTCATATCCCCACTACCAATTAATTTTATTCAATAAAAAACAATTAATATGCAGAAAGAGACATGCAAGATTTATAGATGCTCGTCTGAATATGAGATTACATCACATTCCGCCGCTATAGTAATTCACCATAATGAAAAGAAGTATTGAAGAGAAAATTGCCCACTTTTTTTTTCTGTAACCTCTCTCTCTCTTTTTGATTACAATATATAGGTCGATCCACGTACTAATTTTATGGTGACAATAATTATACTCCTCATCTTAATATTATATCCTTCAACAGCATACACGAGATGCGAATATAAACTTATTGAAGGAAAAGAAATATATTTTAAATAAAAAACTTGGCTGGCCACATGTGTTGATCCATTAAATACTAGCTTCGTATCATGTAATTCACATGGTAGGAAAATGGCTATTATTTGGTTTTTTGCAAAAGTTCGTGTCGATAGGATTTCAAATTATTTAAATTTATCATATAAGATATCTACTCTTTATTTATTAATATTTACATGTGAAAGCAATGGTTTTATTGAATGGTATCAACTATTTTTTAATAAGTGGATCAACTGATATGCATGTCGTACAATTCTTTATCAAGGAACTATATGTAAGAGAAGTTTATAAAAATTCTATTTGTACGTGTGTGTGTGTATATATATATATAAATTTTTAGAATCATGTTCCATTTTTAATAAGTGGATCAACTGATATGCATGTCGTACAATTCTTTATCAAGGAACTATATGTAAGAGAAGTTTATAAAAATTCTATTTGTACGTGTGTGTGTGTATATATATATANAAATCGTTGATCAAATTTTTGATCCAATGCAAAAGAAGGATATTATAGAAAAATCCTTAATAAATACGACATTAATTAGTAATCCATTCATATTCATAATTGCCTTAATCGAGACATATTTACAAGAACATTCCCGTTAATCTTTTTCCCTTCTAGTTGAATAATAATTTGATTATTATCACGATAAAAACTTCAACTTAATTTAAGATCATTAAAGATACCTAGACTTTCAATTTTAGATATTTTGATTTTAAGATCATTATCAATTTGTATTTCTTGAATTTTTTCAGATCAAGATTTACAAGGATATTGTGCTAATACATGAAACTTCCAACTCTTGACCTTTGGGAGGTTTTGATTGAAATGATTTTCTTTCTAAATTAGAAGAATAGTTTTCTTTGAGAGTTTGTCTATTATTACTTCTCCTCGTTATAAATTTATATTTTACATGCTACATTTTGCATAATGGTAACAATAAATACCATTTGATGAAAAGTTAACAAATATGTTGTTTTAAATAGTTGAACAAACAAAAATGCCATGAAATAAAAAAATAATGTATATATTACCTTATGTACTTTTCGCAAATTATTACTAACTTCGAATTTTCAGTAAAATTTTTCTTGAAAGGATGATATTTTGAGGGTTATTAGCACAAAACGTCCTTACGTTTGGCGTTCAGTGTGAAAAACATTCATACGTTTCAATTTTTGCAATTTCACCTCTTTCTTTACGTTTCAATGTGGAAATTGTTCTTCCCATCCAATTTTTCAATAAAAAGTTGTGAAATAAAAAGTATACCTTCCTATTTAAATAAAACAAAAAGAAAAATAAAGAACTAATTGCAACTATATTCCCAAAATTTTTAAAAAAGTACAAACGAATCTCAAATAAATTATTTAAAAAATCAAAAACAAGAAAAAAATTAAAAACAAAATCGTCATCTTCTTTCTCCCAACCTAAATCCTTAACCCGCAAAACAAAGCAAAAAATCGGAGTCACCTACATTTGTATTATTCTTGAATCGCAACTAGATGTTTACAGTAAGATTTAGACATTTTTTCTTATAGTAGGTAAAGTTGACTTAATCAAGAGCTCTGATTGAGTTTGCTTCTACAGCTATTGGTTTATTTAAATTGTTGGGTCAGAAAACCAAAAGCTTCTTTGTTACCACCGCCACTCATGTTTAATAAATCGTATGCCTTTTTTCCCGAAGATGTGTTGTGGTCGGAAGCAAATTATGGTCCTTCATTTATGTTTGGAGATTTCCATCCACCGGAGGCCAATGATTTCTTGTAACCTCTAACTGGTCACTATATCCTCTATTACATCTCTCAAGTTTGCTCCCACTTCGAATTTGTGGC